TAAAATAATTATTAATGTCATTGTATACAAACAGCTTCAAAAGAAGTTAACAGAAAGACTAAACCCAAGATGCAAGGAATTGACCCATCAGTTGCACTCTTGAGCATTTATCCCAGAGAAACAGAAACTTAAATTCTTGCAAACACCCGTGCATGAATGCTCATAGAAACTTTATTTCTAATAGCCAACTACTGGAACAACCCAGATATCCTTCAGTGAATGAAGAGTTGAACAAATCCTGTTATAGCCAAACAAAGGACTATAACTGAGCAATAAAAAGGAATGAGGTATTGTGCACCCCAATGTTTATAGCAGCAATGTCCACAATAGCCAAACTGTGGAAAGAGCCAAGATGTCCATCGACAGATGAATGGATAAAGAAGAGGTGGTATATATACACAATGGAATATTATGCAGCCATCAAAAGGAATGAGATCTTGCCATTTGCAACGACGTGGATGGAACTGGAGGGTGTTATGCTGAGTGAAATAAGTCAATCAGAGAAAGACATGTATCATATGACCTCACTGATATAAGGAATTCTTAATCTCAGGAAACAAACTGAGGGTTGCTGGAGTGGTGGAGGGTGGGAGGGATGGGGTGGCTGGGTGATAGACATCGGGGAGGGTATGTGCTATGGTGAGCACTGTGAATTGTACAAGACTGATGAATCACGGATCTGTACTTCTGAAACAAATAATGCAATATATGTTAAGGAAAAAAAAAAGAAGAAGAAGAAGATAGCAGGAGGGGAAGAATGAAGGGGAGTAAGTCGGAGGAGGAGACGAACCATTAGTGATGATGAACTCTGAAAAACAAACTGAGGGTTCTAGAGGGGAGGGGGTGGGGGGGATGGTTAGCCTGGTGGCTATTAAAGAGGGCACATTCTGCGTGGAGCACTGGGTGTTATGCACAAACAATGAATCATGGAACACTACATCAAAAACTAATGATGGAATGTATGGTGATTAACATAACAATAAAAAATTATTAAAAAAAAAGGAATGAGTTATTAATACATGGAACAACTTGGATGGACCTCAAAGGCATTATGCTCAGTTTAAAAAAAAAGAAGTAAAGCTCAAAAGGTGACAACTATGTGATTCCATTCATATAACATTTTTGAAATGATATAATTATAGAGATGGAAAATAGATTATTGCCAGGTGACAGGAACCAGGGTAGCACAGGAGGTAGCACAAAGAAGTTCTTTTGTGGTGATGAAAGGTTCTCTATGTTGGTTGTGGTATTATGACACAAGTCTGTATATGGAATAAAATTGTACAGATGTGCACACACCTATGTGCACACACACAAATGAATGCAGGTTGAAAAAATCATGAAAACTGAATAAGGGCTATAGACTAGTTCATGGCAACATACCAAGGCCAGTTTCCTTGTTTTGATACTGTACCACGGCTATTTTTTTTTTAAAGATCTATTTATTTATTTTAGAGAGAGAGCATGAGCAGGGGGAGGGGCAGAGAAAGAGAAAGAGATCGAGAGAATCTTAAAAAGACTCCACAGTGAGTGTGGAGCCCAACGCAGGTCTCGATCCCATGACCCTGAGATCACAGACCTGAGCCAAAATCCAGAGTCAGATGCTTAACCAACTGAGCCACCCAGGTGCCCCATACCACAGCTGTTTGAAATGTCACCATCAAGTGACATTGGTAAGTGAAGGGTACCCAGGACTCTACTATTTCTGCAGCATCTCATGCGTCTATATTGATTTCAAAATAAAAAGATTTTTTTAAAATCACTATAGCACAATTATAAAACACTATTAAATATTTAAAAATGGAAATATCCCTCACACAACTGGCATTTAAAGCAACCTTCTTTTCAGAGGCTTACTTCTAAGTCTTCAGTTTGAAGTGATGATTTTTTTTTATTTTAATTCACACATGCAGTTATGTCAATTCAAGAAATATGGGTCTGTGAACATGAAAGCTTAAACTTTGATCCTCCACACTCCATTTTCTTCTTCTTCAAATGCCCTTTATTTGACCAGGAGGGATGTCATTTCCAAAGGTACTGAGAGAGCCACATTTAACTTGAACAACATTGTTCTTTTGGGTTATTAAGGATGTTCAATTTTCTCTGTTGGTTGCTACCCTGAGTTGGAGACTCTTCTAAAATGTCAGACTGAGAAAACTGTACTGGTTCCAACACAATTTAAAACAAAACAAAGCAGAAAGGCTTTGGAATTAATGCAATCAATAATTACTTTTGAAAACAAACTTAAAAGGTAACAGTTGAATGCTAAGATGTATAAATCTGTCTTTCTTTCTTTGAATATCAATGTGGCCAAGAAATTGAGAAGCACAATAGAGAGTTCAATTCAAAAGCACTTATTGAGTACCTGAATCATAATCACAATGCCTTTTAAGGATCTGCATGTTTTGCGGAGCAGTGCAGGTTATAATGATGACAGAGTCCACACTGCCTAAGAGATCCCTAGTATTGACAAATGCTCCTGATTTACACTGGCATACTGAGGGAGAAGCAAACACTGTGTCATACCAATAGCCAGAAAACCAAAAATCCAACAGAGTTAAAGGAAGAAATTGCTTAGCCAGCTCGGCTGAAAATAGGGTTGGTCTCTGGAGAAAGGCATCAGGGTCAGGACAAAAGTCACAAGGCTATGGAAAACAAAATCCTACAGACACAAATTTGTAGGACTGCCACCATATCAAATAAGTAAAACGCACAAGAATTTGAAATTCCACATAAATCCTGTATAGAGAATACAGATTTTTTCCTCTATTATCCGTGAATGACTTGGGATACAAGTGGCTAAAAGAAAGTTTTAAGATACTATTGCTCTGGTGTGGATAAAATTTGGCATTTTCACAAAATAACTTATCTGGAGGAGATGATATCATGACACAAATGTGTGCTCAAGTTAAAAGCCACCAGATTCCTCAATTTTGTTCTTATGTTTTTTGTTTTGTTTCATTCTGTTGTTGGAAAATAAGTTGTAAAGTTAATGGATACTAAACCATTCTCTAAATACCTTTGTAAAGTAAGGCCAATTATATTTTACTGCACTTTTTGATTTGGAGTACTTAATATGCTAACTTTCTGTTGTTGATCATGTTAATTCTATCTTATTAAAGCCAACATTAAACTACAAGGAAAAGTAAAAATCAAAAGGATATTACTTTGAACGAATAAAAAATAAGGTGATTAATGGATAGATTGAAGGATGGGCAGATAGATGAAAAAGCAAGTATAAGAAAATGTTAAATGATAATCTAGGAGTGAGGCTATGGGTATATATTATAACAGTCTTTCAACTTTTCTGTATATTTGAAAACTTCTTACAATTTTGGAAATAAAATCAAAAGAACAACCAGAATTTTCAATGCCTAAATAAACAAATAAATAGCTTCATTTTCTGAAATAATGTATTAAGGCCTCTGTCAGTTTACATCATAAAAGTAAGAGAATGTTACAAAAAACAAAGCCTTGCATTAAAAACCCCAAAGCTGTTGAAAGACAAATACCATATGATTTCACTCATAAGGGGAATCTAAAAAAACAAAACAAGTGAATAAGCAAACAAAAAGCAGAATAAGACCTCTAAATAGAGAGAACAGACTGATGGTTGCCAGAAGGAAAGGAGTGATGGACAAAGTGGGTGAAAGGGAATGGGGGATATAGGCTTCCAGTTATCGAATGAATAAGCTACAGAGATGGTACAGCAGAGGGAATATAGTCAATAGTATTGTAATAGTGTTGTATGGGGACAGATGGTAGCCACACTGATGGTGAGCACAGCATAAGGTGTAGAGAAGTTGAATTGCTATGTTGTACACCTGAAACTAATGTAAATTGTGTGTCAACTATACTCAAGTTAAAAAGCTAAAAACAAATTCATGTGCGGTTTCTAGGTAAAGAATAAAATGACAAGAGATTGGCTCTAGTAGTGGAAAGTACCTATTTATGCAGAACTACCTTTCATTGTCTTACCTTTACATTGATATTATGCTTCGTCAGTATGTCCGATAAGACTGTGACTCTGACAGATCCAAATGATACAAGTTAGGCTTGTTCTCAGATCTAGAACACAAGAACAGCAACATATGGTTACTTGACTAAGACACCAAAATTAAATGGCACTAACCAGATAAATACGATAGTATTTTTGTGTCTAGTCATAAAAAGAACTTTCTGTATTTTCTTCCATTGTTGGTCCATGCTGTTTTAAATAATCTTTCCTCTTGAAGTCAAGTTAGAATTTTCCAATGAGTCCAAAAAAGATTTTATTGGCTTAGAATTGATTAACTTAGAAGCACCTCAGCTTTTCATATTCAAGGCAAATGCCACTTCATCGTCGGTTGATTAGTAGCTCCTGTGAAGTACTACAAGGATTTCTCCTTACATTCAACCCTGGGTCCATTTTCCACAAAGTTCCCAGACCTGCAAAGCTTCAAATGCCTGAAGACATTCTCTCGGCAGTTCCCATTGCTTCTAAGCAGGCCTGGGTCTTAGAAATGCCAGACAAGTTGATATCGATCCTTTTTAGTAAGTGACGTACAAAGGAAGTAGATCTGCCAGCCTCCTTTAGAAACAGGGTCAAATAACCAGTTGGAAAACTTTCGAAAGGTGTCACATCAAACTTTAATCATACCTACATTTTTATGGAGCTTTTAACTTTGCAAATTGCTTTCACGTGCATTATCTCATTTCACGTGCTACGGCACTGCAACAGCGTCCAGGTTTTAGGGCTGGGTTACAATGACACAGATATCAACATGTGGACGGGGACATCTCACGAAAATTGGTTATTGCCATGTCGACCTGCCTGGCTTGGAGATCGAGTATGACAAAGGGTTAAGATCCTAATAGCTGCTTTGCTCCGCGGCTGCTGGCGTTTCTCAGAGCCATTTCTCCTTTTTCTTTTTCAAGGAGAAAATGGGTTACATCTTTTCTTTGTCTCCCTCCCGCCCTTCTTATTAATGATTTTCTTTTTCTTCTCAACCGATCGGTAGGTCAGCCCGACCCCGGGGTGCATCCGAGCCCTCATGAAGATGCTGTACTGCCCGTACTGCCGGGGTCTTCCCACGGTGAGACCTTGCAAGAACTACTGCCTCAACGTCATGAAGGGCTGCCTGGCCAACCAGGCTGATCTGGACACCGAATGGAATCTGTTCATAGGTAAGGGAGGTAAGGGGCGTTGCCGCGGAGCCGTGACGTCATTACGGTGACGTAGATCTCCAACGGAGCTGTGGGCCGGGTGGGCGGCTCCGACGCCGTGATGACGTACGGAGCCCACGAGCATTACATACAACACCGGGGAAGTGTTGACATTATTTTGCGTTTTTTCTTCTTTTTCTAAATCCAAAATAATAACAATAAGAAGAAAAAATCCTGGTATGTTGTGAAGGACTGTCCTGTACTGAATTCGCCGATCTCTCTGACAGGGAAAAGTACTCTTGTTGACTTTCTGGGAGCTCCTGTGGAAAGGGACAAGTTAGGGGAAGAAAACAAAAATCTCATTAAAAACAAATCCACAGCACTGGCTCTTATTCGTATTACCTCAACATAGTCACAGATATTAGTAAACCACTCCTTAAACGTCCATGATGAAACTAGCTCAATATTTTTGCTAAAATATGCAAATTTTCTTTCTCATTCTGTGGAGAAGAATGCTTCCGGCGCACCGGAGCCTAACAGCCTTGCTGTCTTTTGAAAGTAGGAGGAGAGAGGGTGGGGAAGATGCAGCGAAGGTCTGGGGAGTCAGGGCTCTCGTCTTGAGTTGCAGAAATGGCTCAAGGAGTCGCACTGCCTAAAGATATTTCCCAAATTGCTATCCAAGGATAAAAGGACACATTTTACAGGCAGGCTGCTCCCAGGAAAATACACAGGCCTTGAAAGAGTGTGTTTTCTCCCCCTCTGTCAAATGGCCTTCAAATAAAAGTACTTTCAATTGCATTTACTGCAATTGCGTGGTGACAGGCAGAGTGGCGCGGAGGCTTCCGTCACCCGCATCGTTTATGCAAACCTCGAAATCAGAAGGCACGCCTAACGCCTTCTGACATCTAAGATTCGGGTGGGAGGGGAAAAAAGATCTAGGATGTGTTGGAATGGAGCGAAACCTAAGCCCCTTGTACAAAAATGTGCTTAGGTTACAAGCCTTCGGCTTTGGCTCTGTCACCCACCGGCTAACGTGCTATTATGCTTAGGAACGCCAAAGAAAATGGTTTTGAAGTTTTAAAAAAAGATTTGAGAGTGGGTAGATTCAAATGGAACTCATCTAACAAAACCCCAGAAATCATTTCAGAGAGAATAAATTGAAATGCTGTTCTCTCTCCCTGTAGTGGGAGTATAAAATCTGTTTGCATGTTCTTGGGTTACTTTATTTGAAAAATGAGGAAGTGTTTAAAAAAGTTAATCATTAAGGTACCCTTCTAACTCAAACATGATATGATTCTTTGCTAAGATTTTGGAGGGGAGTATGAATTAAAAAAATATAAGAATAACTTGATCTTCTACAACATATATTTAGATTAATTTTGGCAAAGACACTCTATCCAAATAATGCTAATCAAAAAGTACTCTCATCAAGAAATCTAAAAATATTTGCATATTTTAAAACCAGATTAAACCTCATAGCATCCCACTTTGAGTCATACAGATTATTCATACTTTTTGGTTGAAAGTACCCTAATTTATAGCACAGTTAAATTGTCTTTGCTCAGCCTGCACCTTATTGATGAAAGCGGGCGTGCGGATTTTGTTACTTAGAGCAGGACATGATTAAGAATGAGATTATAGGCTTTTAACTTATAAGAGCAATGGTGACTACCTATTGGCTTTTTCTCCTCGGTGCTGGTTGGCTGTTTTAACATAAAACAAATCTTTATACTTTCTATCAATTGGGTTTCCTGGTTGCCAATTAGATGTGAAGTTGAATGTCTGGAAAGCCATTTGATTTAAAAACTAAAATTTGAACCCACCGTGTGTTGGATGTACTTTAATGAAAAGGGAACCTGGCGGTTAGCCCTCCCTTAATATATCTCATACCCTTTCTCATGTTTTTTATTAGTCTTAGATATCAGTGAGAAAAATCCTACTTCCTTCTTTCTTCTGGTTCTGCTATGGCACTGAGAAGTGACCACCAACATATACTTTTGGAGCAAAATATGTTCTTGAAACTGTTAATAGTGGCATGCAATCAATGGCCAATAAAAGCAAGAATTGAACTGGTGGCACATTCTCATGATCTTTACCATGCCACAAATTAATTGCAAATGAGTTGTAATTATTTTGAATTCAATTGTTGTTGGGTTTGTCAAAAGAAAGGCGATTCATGGACACAATGAAATGTTTTAAGTGTTCAGCTAAAAACCCCAATGGCATTCCATTCTCTTCTGAAGTTCTATAGTTTGTCAATTTTCATTTCTTTGTAATTCTAGAAAACAATCAGGAGTCTACTCAGGATGCATTTCCATAGTTTTCCTTGAGGACGTTTAATTCTGTGCCCTGCACAGAGTGGGTGTTCAAAAAATTTTTATCAACTAACTGTTGTAGCAAAAAGAATTTTAGATAAAGAGCTTTTTTGGTTTTTTTGAAAAGTTACTGACAACTTTGGAGAAGTTGCTGCTAGACCCATTTTAGAGAACATGAAAGTCTCAGTTGACCTCTGCCAGAACTGTCAGCTGCTTTCTAGAAGCATGTGGGATTCCCCAGGACCGAGCCCAGCCCAGCCTCAACTTGGGGCACCTAAGCAGATGGGCATGCTAGGCCACACCCCTGAGCTAGGCAGGACCCCAGGGACACAAGAGTGGGGTGCAGTCTGCTCTCACTACCAGGCACAATGCAGTAAGAGAACAATGTAGTTTGAGGCATTGACAGGCACTGCTTGGGCGCCTACCCCAGGTGTTGCTGTCAATTTATACTCAGCTGATTCCAGCCTAGTCTTTGAATGTTGCCTGAATGCAAAAGCGTTTTCTCAGAAAATGTTTATGTAAATTAAAATTTCCTAAAGGGAAACAGTTTGTGGGCAGAATTTGTTTTCAGTAATATCCTGTGGTTATTTTGAGTGTTTGGCATTGATACCAACACTCCACAGATAAGAGCTGTTCTGTTTGACGAGGGGCCATGGTGCAGATTACTCCTAGCTCAGGAGCTCAGAAGTTAAGGCTGAAATTACATTTGTGTAGCTGCAGTAAGTCTTGCATCTACTTTAAAATCTAGGATGTGGGGGCGCCTGGGTGCCTCAGTTGGTTGAGCAACTGCCTTCGGCTCGGGTCATGATCCTGGAGTCCCGGGATCGAGTCCCACATCGAGCTCCCTGCTTAGCGGGGAGTCTGCCTCTCCCTCTGACCCTGCCCCCTCTTGTGCTCTCTCTTTCTCATTCTCTCTCTCAAATAAATAAATAAAATCTTAAAAAAATAAAATAAAATCTAGGCTGTGTGGGACAGCCTCCTCCAAACATCTGGTACCTTCTAAAACTTTATAGACTGTGAGAACCAGAGAGAGGAAAAAAAGGATGTGGGGAGGGAAATGCTGGTGAGACCAAAGGCAGGAATTCTGTTTGTTCTGTAATATTTTTTATCACTAAAATATTTGAGGGTGTTTACTAATGCAAGTATAAGACTAGCATCACTATCGTTCCATAAAACTGAGACCTGAAGATGTTTGTGTACCGACATTGCAGCCTAATATTTTAGGCTATCCCAGTTGGTAAGACTCTAATAATCCTAACCTATTAATTGGCAACTCACTAGGGTAAAAAAAAATTTTCCCCTAAGGTAAAAAAATATATGTGTCTAGCTTTTACACAGTTGAGTATGTTTTTTACCCTAGGGGAACTTAATGCAGTTAATTGAGTTATACTCAACTGTGATTTATCCCTATTTTAGGAAAATAGAAGCACAGGATGCTAAGCATCTACTGAGTGGGGGGACTTAATCTAGACTAGGGTGTCAGGGAAGCCCTACCTTGGTAGATCTAGAAGAGTAAAGAAGACTGTCCTGAATTAGCATTGTCAGACATAATCGATGCTGGGTAGCCATAACATATAGAATTGCTGCAATACTGTAGAGGCCCCAAATATTCATGAGAGCATCAAACATGAGGTCCCTGGTGGGCACTACACCTGTGCCCAGCCAAGAGCCCCTGCTCTGGGTATCATCCATTCATCTCCTGAGATTCATGAAGACAACACGTGTTTACCGAGTGCCTGGCACGGACCCTGTTCTGGTTTCAGCACAAGAGGAGAGTGGACAAGGGCCTGCCTGCTGAGAAGAGAGCTCCCTGTATGTTCTCTGTTGAAATCAATGAACAGCTAGACAGAGAAATGGAAGGGAATGTCCTAAGAGGCTGCTCCATTTTACTTTGTAGGTCTACTCTTTTAATGGAAGTATGACTAATTCAGTAATTTAAAAAACACATATCCCTGTTGTTAATGGACTCAAGAGTGCAGGGATGGCAGAAACAAATCAGATAATGAACCTGGTTCCTTCATGGTGATAGCTGCCATCAAGGTATAAATTAGAGCCAGCCGCCAGCAAGTTGTGGTAGGTCAGTCAAATAACTAGTATCATGTAATAATTGGCCACTTCGGGGCGCAAATGACTTTCTCAGGACCTGAAAGAGTTGTTTGTCCTCAAGGTACTTAGTATATTCACATCTTTGTGTTTGCGCATGTTGCTAGATAAACATTTAGTGTTCCTAGTAAATAAACTTGAGTTCTCTTTTTCTAAACTACACAGGACTGTGTGATGTTGCATTTCAGCAGGATATAAAATAAACACAAAGAACTATTTCAAACATTTGTATAAGATGCTCATCTCTCAAAGACTCTCTTAAGCATGAAATTCCATAATATAAATCTGATCAATTTTTTAGTTACAAAGAATTCCATAGTAAATATGATATGACTCCAGCTGATAGATCCCGAAATGCCATGTTTTAAAAACCTCTAGACCCAAAACATAGAAAATGATTTCCTTTCAACCAAAGAGAAAGAAAAATTTAAGAATTATATTTAGCAGCAAGCTTCAAGGTTTCTTAGTCTCCACCTTGTATAAGACAAGAACCTATTCACTAATACAGTCTAGAAACACAACTCTTAAATTGAGGAACAAAAGCCAAAGCAATTATTTTAGAATCTGATCTCACCGTTAGCTATAGAACTTGCTTTTGCCCTT